CTATCAAAACATTGTATATAGATAATGCAAAAGAATTTGCATCAAAGTCCTTTGAAGACTATTATACTGCAACAAGGACTGAGTTGTCGTATTGTGTTCCATATGAACATGTTCAAAATAGACTTGTAAATTTATTTATAAAGCATATACAACTCATTACTCGGATACTCTTTTTTCATGTAAATTTATGTGCATCTATGTGGGATCATGTAATTTTGTATGTTGCAGCATTAATATGCCTCTGTCCTTCTTTTCTTAAAATTATTATATCATAAGACCTCATTTCAGGTCGTGTTTTAAATATATCTCATCTATGGATGTTTGGTTGCCATACTTGGATTCCAATATCAGAACTTCAATAGCATACCATTGGTACTCATCAACAAGAAGGCATATATGTTGGTTTTAATTCATCAAGCATTATTTGTATAATTTATCCATCAACATGCACATTATTATGTGCATATTTTCAAAATTTTTGTTTTGAAGAGAACATATTTCCATCTCTTTGACGAGGAATATTTAATCAATAAAGAAACACAGTAATTGTATTTGGAGCATTAAAAATATTTACAATGAATCTTGATTCTAAAAAATCTTTGGCTAAAAGTGAAATTGCCAAGATTTTGTATCTAAAATGGATTACAAATGAAATACTTGATGGCTTCAATAATGCGCCTTTAATTACAAGAGTTCTAATTAATGAAGCTCAGAATGAATCCACTCAAATTGCAATACTACTAATAAATATACCTTAGGTTAAAACATTAGCAATTAAAAGGACTCGTGGACTAGATAAACAACCACAAAAGAAGAAAGCTATAATATGTGGTGATTCTCATATTATTTTTGTAGAGGTTTCTACTAAACCTATGCAACCGTCAATTAATGATAATATATCAATGCACATTATACCTTCACCTCATGCAATAGAAAAACTTGAAATTAGGAGGAATAAAATCAAGTTGAGTACAAAATTATTTGTTCTATATTGTATTATAAAAGACCTTTAAAATAGACCATCTATTATAATAGATAAATCATTTGCATTTATGATGGAAAAAGCTCTTTTTTATGAGAACGAGGATCTTGAACCTCAAAACATTCAAAAAGTGATGCATCACTTTGATTGATTAAAATGAAAAACTATCATTGAGGAAGAGTATACTTCTTTGCGTAAGAAGAAAGTCTTTGGTCCAATTGTGGATACTCTTACTTCTTACTGTGTAGGATATAAGATGATATTAATTTGGAAGCAACATGTTAACAATCAAATAATCCACTATAAAGCTCATCTTGTTGCTCAAGGATTTATCCAATGATTTGGTATTGATTATGAATCCTTATATTCTCCAGTCATGGATTCAATTACATTCTGATATATTATTGAAATGGCAATTCATGCCACCTTTGAAATGTATCTTATAGATGTGATAACTACATATTTGTATGGTTCACATGATGTAGATATTCATATGAAAGTTCTACCTGGTTTAGAAACACAAACTCCAAATGCACCTGCTCCAAGACAATATTGTGATATTAAGTTATACAAGGTCCTATATGATCTAAAACAATCTAGATGTATGTGGTATCAATGTCTCCAAGATTATTTAATTATAAATAAATTTATAAGGGATCCATTAATTCCTTATTTATTTATCAAATGAGATAAAACTAGTTTTGTAATCATCATTATATATGTTGATGATCTTAATCTAGTGGATACTAGATTTGCATGTGTTGCAACTACTAACCTACTTATCTATGAATTTGAGATGGAAATACTAAGAAAAATAACTTTCTGCATTGATCTTTAGATTATGCATCTGTTAGATGGTAGCATTTTTCTCTACTAACTAATATATATTAGACAAATCTTACGAAGATTCAATATGTTTGATACTTATCTATTGTCAACACTAAAGGTTGAACATGGTTGTGATGGTCATGATCCATACCATCCATGTAAGAAGGAAGAGGAAATATTTAAAGAACAATATTCATACCTTGCAGTGATTCGAGCACTTTTATATTTAGCCACATCTACTAGATCAGATATTATATTTTCAGTTAGTATTCTTGCAAGACACAATACACGTCCAATACTACAACATTGGAATGATATCAAACATTTACTACATTATTTAAAAGATATTGAAGATTTGAGATTATACTATACACAATCTATGGATCCAAAATTAGTTGGATATTATGATGTAAGATATAAATCTGATATTAAAATAACTAAATCTCAAATAAGCTATGTATTCTTAAGACATGGAGCTGTAATATCATAGAAATCAGTGAAACAAACTATAACTGCAACTTCATCCAACCATGCAAAAATTATTGCCTTACAAGAAGCATCTCAAGAATGTATTTGGTTACAATCAATTGATAAACTCATTCAGACAACATGTGGACTTTCATATGATGATTCTCCAACTATCTTGTATGAAGATAATAGCCCTTGTGTTGCACAAATGCAAATTGGTTTCATTAAAGGGGATAGAACAAAGCATATTGATCCAAAGTATTTTAGTTTTATCTATGACTTGGTTATTCATCAAGTACTTAAGATCAAGAAAATTGAATCTGCAAATAACCTTGTTGATCTCCTCACCAAAGCACTTCCTTTGTGCAACCATCGCCGACTTACTTATGGCATTAGTATGTGACAACTTGATTTTTTTGAGCAAAAAAATTAATGAACTCTTGAGATAATATTGTACTCTTTTTCTTTCATCTATAGTTTTGTCCTTAAATATAATAAGGTTTTCTTGGATAAGATTTTAATGAGGCAACAATTATTGATCTTACAAGATTACAGAAAAGTATAGATCATAATTCTATGCATATAAATATTATGACAAGCGAGGACCTTTGAAAACTCCTCCTAAATCCTAAACCTAAACCCTAAATCCTAAACCTAAATCCTAAACCCTAAACCCTAAATGGTATGGACAGCGCTAGCTACATTCAATGCTCTTAACGTATGTAGCTAGCGCTGTCCATACTATTTATTGTAGTCTATAATATTTACTATTGCTACAATGTTTGGAATGTAGTGGAGAGAAACTATTTATCTTCTCTTCTTTTCTTTGTATAAGAGATATAATCCTATTAATAAACTCACTTCTTATATGTATGTATTTACATATGTGTTCATATTACTTTTAGCTGCTATTATCTCTCTCTCTCTAAAATATCTTCAATAGAAAACATAGGTCAGCTTTATTGTGGCTATATCAACCTCCAAAGAGCTTTTATTCTCTTAATGTCCAGATTTGTAATAGTATGTAATTCTTTGCTTTTTGCACAGCTTGCCGAGAAGCCTCTTAAGTTGTCCAATATGTCCATAGATCAAAAACTTCAAGTCTGAATTCTTAAAGGGTGCGAGGACAAAGGCAAAGGCATTGGATTCCGCAAGCAGCCCACGTCATGATCTTCTTACTTGGTTCTATTTCACAACAAAGAAACTCCTTTGCAAGAAGTCATTGATCAAAAATGCAAAGTACAACTTGGCCAAAACAACTTATGTAACAATGAAGAAGAGGAATGAAGGTAGGAAGCAATCTAGCTAGCTAATAAGAGTGAAGAAGAGAGGAATGGCAAGGCCAAAATAGGACACAAATACTTATCAGACAGAGAGAGAGAATGTGTCTTGAGTGACAAATAGTTATCTAATAATGAATTGTTATTGCAAAATCTTTAGGGTTCTAACCACTTGGTTCTTCAATATTCTCCCAGTTCCAATAACTTCTAATGTTTTTTAAGTTCTCAAAGTTTTATTCTCAATAGCCAATTAAAATACATTTTTGTTTCTTTATCTTTTTTCCAAGTTATTTTGTATAGTAGATATGAATTGTAAAAATAGAAAACATAAAAAAAAATGATTTTTTTATTTAAAAATTAAAATTTTCATATTTTTTATTTGTGGTACTTGTTTCTATTTATATATATATATATATATATATATATATATTAAAGAATAAAAACTTCTAAAATTTTAATAAATTTTTATTTTAGCAAAAAGAATTTAAAAGAAAAATATGAATGTGTATATATATAAACATATATATCTATATCTATATATATATATATATATATGTGCATTTCTAAAATAAATAATGTTTTAAATATATTTATATGCAAATTTAATAATTGATAAAAAAAAATTGCTATGTGGACACTCCTCAATTTTTTTGTAGACACCTTCTTGTGCCACACACCCATACACACAATAAAGCTCTAATTTACACTAAATGAATTGAGAATAAATTTATAGTGAAAGATTTGTGAGTAATGACTTCTAGCATGTAGATCAATTTAAGATTTAAATAGGTCAATTTAATATTTGAAAAGATTTTAATAGGTCAATTTAATATTTGAAAAGATTTTAATAGGTCAATTTTTGTGATTATGCTATGTGAAATTCAAGACTTTTTTAAAGAGTAGTTGATTATTTATTTATGGTGTTATTCTTTGACACAATATTTTACAGCTTGTATTTCTTATATATGTAAACATGTTTGAAGGATTCAATGATCTTTCAGATTAAGAATCCAGGCATGCTGGTTTAGATTTCATAAATAGACATATATTCAAGTTCAGAAACAAGAGATTTTTGTCATAACGTTATTGTACTTAGTAGCATTGTATTCGAGTGAATGCTTATATTCTATCCCCATGAAGTGTTGAGTCGGCATCAAAAATCATAATCTTTTACTCTATTAAGTTTATTACGAAATAATTTTACACTACACTTTTCCAATTAATTCTAACAGAATGTAGAAAAGTTGTGACTAATCAGATAACTTCCAAAGGATTCAAACGTTTATAACTAATTTACGTGCTGTTTTAAAGAAATATATAATATTAAAACAAGTATTTTAATGTATTGGTTCATTATTAAAATCTTATAAAGCTCTTAAGTAATAATCAATATGTAGTCAATATAATCATCGCATCAAATTCGACAAACCAAGAAGTCAATGTAGATAATACAGAAACTTCATATAGACATTTTAGAATAATATGGCCTTACGAAAAGGTGACCCTGGGTTTGACATCATGTAATAACAAATCATAACTTTCAGTCAATGGAGTCGATTCATAGACAAAAGTCAGGAACAGTAAAGATTCAACTTTCTCGAAGACTCTTTACTAGAATCATTTTCCTCTAAAAGGCAAATGTCAAAATTGCAGAACGCCCATAAATACAATCTAGGCAACTTGGTTGGTGACTGCCTTGCGCTTCTTAGCCTCCTCAACAATGCTGAGCTTAATACCCTTACCGCGAGGAAGGGTGATCCAGGGCTTCGTACCCTGTCCGATTGTGAACACGTTACCCATTCGAGTGGCAAACTGGTTTCCTGTGGAGTCAGTGACGTGGATGATGTCAAAGCTTCCTTTGTGCTTCTCACGATGTTGAATAACCCCAATACGCCCTCTGTTGCGCCCACCAGTAACCATGACGATGTTACCAATGTCGAACTTAATAAACTCTACCACCTTTCCTGTCTCAAGGTTGATCTTGACTGTATCGTTGGCCTTGATAAGTGGGTCTGGGTACCTGTAACATACAGACCCAGTTCAATAAACATATCGATGACAAAACATTACAAATTTCGGTGTCAACATTTCACAGCCGGATATATGTTTCGTGGCTTCATTCACCGTGATAGGTACAAAAGATACCTGATAGTGCGACCGTCAAAAGTGGTGATGTAGGGAACGCCCTTGTCACCGAATTGGGCGGACCTCACCTTGCACAACTTGTACTGTAATCAAATTAACCAGTGAAGAAGCATGTTAGGAAAAAATCCAATATAGACTGATGACATTGATTGCGGAGGACAAAGACCTGTAATAAAGGTTAACTGCCTATAATTTGAAACAAAGAGTTGGCTTCCAGAATCAGTGCAAGAGGATCTCGTGCCGCGGAGCGAACCTTAGCTTCTTCAGCACTGATGTGGTGGAGGGTGAAACGACCCTTATTGTCATACAATAGACGGAAGTTCTCGTTTGTCTTAGCAATGGAGATGACATCTGCATTTTTTTATCAGATGATAAACCTGATCTTGTAAGAAAACTTTATGGCTCCATTAAAGAGGTTAAAACACGCAATGTGTGGACTTTGGTTCCGAGATTGTCAAGAATAAAAAAGGCCGGCTCGAATGTTGGCGCTACGATGGCAATAAAGATGATCTAAATGTTACTCACCCATGAAACCGGCAGGGTAGCACTTGTCAGTTCGAACCTTTCCATCAATGGAGATGAGGCGCTGCATCACGATGGCAACCACTTCGCGGTAGGTTAAGGCATACTTCAACCGATTCCTCAACATAACCACCAAAGGCAGACATTCTCGTTCCTTGTGGGGCCCTGGAGAGGGCTTGGGGGCCTAGAACACAACAATCGAATATACCGTGTGAGAAACCTCTGTGTAGTGGGATAACCCTCAACATTAGGTCTATTCCGCAATCATGTAGGACACCGCAGGCTCCATATAAACTTGAGGAGTCCATGAGAGACCTAAAGAATGAGGCATATTGATAGTTTTCTTTTAATATTGAAGATCCAAGCCCAAGAAGCTCAGAATACTCTGTTCAACGAGAGGGCAAGAAGCAAAAGTTTCATTTAAGAAGCCTATCTAACAGTGCACTAGATACAAGCCACCTTCCGCTCACAAACATAGGTATGAATTCAGTTCAAAATGGTACTCACGAAGGCGCCACCCAGCTTGTCAAGCATCCAATGCTTAGGCGCATTGAGCCTCTTCAAATGCTTCTTCAAACCGCGAGCCTGGAATCAACACCGCAACACATGTTTAGCACACGTACCAATTGAACAGGGTGATCAGCCAGTCCCAAAATACCGAAGACCCTGATTCTCACTCCAGCATCAGAGGCTCACCATAGCTGAAAAGGCACTACAAGAGAGAGAAGGAACGTGGGGGAGCGAAGGGAAATGGAAAGGAGGGTGGGACAGTGCACAGAGAGCTCGCTTTAGAGCGTAGATACCATGGTGGGAAGGCAGGAGCTGGCGCTGCGAGGGTGCGAGGCGGCAGGACACACACTCCGGGCAACAACAAATCCGAAAGAGAAACCCTAATCAGTCGTCGTGGTCCCTGTACTCCTCAACCCCAAACTTCATCCATCCAACTAAGGTGCGTGGGACGTTTCATCCCTTGCATTTAGGGTAGCCTTTCTTCAGGTCGGGGAATTCTGGCTGCTGATTTTGACTCCAGTTTTTAATATATTGGTTTCAGTTCCATGCATGAATTTCCATGTGTGTGTAAATATATATACATAATAATATTTCCTTAAGTTATGATAAATATATATTTTATTTATTTATTTATTCATTTATTTATTTAATTTATTTAAACATGAATATAGAACAAATACTTGAATGTCGTATTTTACTCAAGTTCTGTTTTTGCACTTATATTGTAATGTGGTCCTTGGGATTCACCAAATTTGGATTCTTAGTCATAAACATGCATTTTTTTAAACTAATGTATAACTTCCAATCATTAGTATTTTTATTTTTGACATAATTTTTCTATGATTTAGTCAAGATTTTTTAGGCATTTATTAATAGTTTGATTAGGGTTTGTTTAAGTTTTTAGGACTTATCTAGAGTTTATTTAAGATTTGATTAGAGTTTTTGAAGATATCTAAGTAATTGTTAGAATTTTTTTAGGATTTATTAAAAATTTATTTGATTATTTTTAGAATTATATAGAACTTAGAATATAAAATTTATAGGAATTAGAATTGCTTAGATTTAGGAGTTCTAGAAGGTTAATGGTTATCAAGAGGGGTGCTTCTAACCACCAAATTATTTTTGAGTTATAAGAATTTGTAGGCTTTAATTTTTTACTCTTTGACAACCATGATGTATATCCTAGAAGTTTATAAATCCTAAATAAACTTCAAAAAAAATCTAAAAACAACCTATACAAAATCTTAGAGAAACCCTATCAAATTCTAAAAAAACCTAACCAAGCCCTAAATAGACCCTAATTTCTTAAGAAGTTATAAACAACCTTGTTTTCTAAGTATAAAGTGTCACTAAATGTGTATCATTTGATAAAAGTGTTGCACACACATGTATTGCTCTACAAGTAAACACAAAAATACAAACATGCCACACTACAAAGCTATATTCACGTCTTCATCTGGCTTGAGATCTGGCAGAACAGCCCCGAGCAAATAACAACCTAGGTTCAAACAATTCATGGCGCTTCTACGAAGTAGAGGAGGTGTCGGTAAGGATTCATTGTGAGAAATGTCGACTGTCTCTTTGCTCATATCATACACTTTTCCAGTTAGCTCGTCTGTGTTGAAGATGCAGAGATTGTGCTTCCCCACTGGGACACATGTGAATTTTGGATGTTCTGACGGATCTTCGGATTTTCGTGCCGACAGTTGCTTGGTAAGTCTCCTGGTCCATGTGTACCCTTCTTCGCTCCACAAGTTAAGCTTATCAATGCAGTGGGTGACACAACGGGGACTCTCTTGCTCGGAGAATGCACTCATTGGCATGGAGAAATCAGTCACTTGCTCGGAGAAAAGGTAGATCACGCCGTTGCACTCCACAAGCTGGTCAATAACTCTTGAGGAAGGGGACCTGAGATGCAAACTGAGAAATGGACAAACCCAGCGTGCTCGCCACTCGCTTGTTACCACGTCGAAAGCCAGGATTCCTTTCCTTCCGTCCACCATGAACCCTGTGCACAACAACAAATTTTGAGTCTCGCAGAAGACTCCAGTCTGGTATTCGTTTAAGGAGAACTCACCCGGCACATCCCCAGCAACTTCCCATCGCCTACTGACTGAGCAGTACACCTCTGTTTTTCTGGAAAGGTGCCCATTTCCAACTGCCGCACTCCCAACTGCGATCACTCGAAAATCTGCTCTGCCAGGCGTGGTCACCTGCAGTGATATGACAACAGGGTGGCGCGGATAGTTCAAAGAAGGTAGTTGTTGCGCTTCTCCTGTCAGAGGGTTGAAGATATACAGCTTCGCAGGTTCAGAGGACCTGCCCATATTCGCACAGATAAGACCATGTTTACCGGCAACCGGAAATTTTCTAAACGAGTCAGGATCCGGGACTGGAATCGGGCAGGTGAACGGGGGTAGCATGCGCCAACTGTGATCCTTCCAATCAAACCCCCACAGGTGCCACCAATTCCTCTCCACACAAAACAGTGAAGGACTGAGAGTGCACTCTAATGGGTGTAGACGAGCGCGCGCTTGCTTGAAGCTGTCCCGGAATAGTGCTTCCCGGAAGCTTCTGCAAACTCGGACGACATTGTACAGATCGGTTAGGTCCAAACGGGCCAGAACCAAATCTTGTATTTCTGAAGGTAAGGAATCCCAAGTACGCCCATTGGCAAGGTCACTTATAGACATCCAGCTCATCGACTTCAGTGTTCTCCTTCTAATCTGCAATCAGTAAGCAGCCAAATCATTAGAGCATAGAGGTAGGGAAAGGCGACTCACGGACATGAGTACATGAAATTTGGAAAAGGTTACAAGTTCACCTGAATTGAGCTCAAGAAATTGAAGGTGATTCTTCAGCCAATCAAAGCGAGAGTTATCGAACTGACGTATCGAACAAGGTAGCGCTGGATTTGAAGCACCAACCACAATCAAGAAACTTTCCAGTCAACCAACGTCCACAGCAGTCCGCACACCGTCACTTGTGATTGTGTTGTCAAGAATGATTTACACTCGCCGGGGAAGTGAGGCAGGGGGCAGCGACGGGACAAGCAGCCGCAGGAGTAGTGGGGGAAGTGGTCGAGGACTCGCGGCGGTACTAGTAGTCGGCGGGGGAGCGTCGAGAGGAGACAATGTGGGGAAGGGTCTTCTGAAGCGTCTCGGAAAAAGTCGTGGGGGGGGGGGGGGAGCTGCTCGGTACCGATATTCGCAGTTGTCTGCACACTGTCACTCGTGATACTGTTGACAAGAATAATTTACGCTCATCAGCGGCTCCGGACGATTTGTAACATCCCTGTAAAATTACATTTCATTTCTCACGTTCATACATTGAATGTTGGTAACAATGTGGGTTATTTGAATACAATGGAAAAGATGAGAATTACTTGCAGACTAAGTGACAGTAGACAGTGAGCTGCCTGAAATCCGATTCCCAGACAAGGTGCGGTCGATTCTCCTCGTCACAAAATTCTCGTTCAAAACTCCAACTTCGCTCTCAAAACAATTAGAGAGATGTCCAGAAGGAGAATCTTCTAGTTGTGCCTGTCTGCTTCACAAAGAAGGAATATTGTCGCAAACAGTCTGCGGCGGAACCACCACATGGATTTTATTCAAATTTCTCAGCTGAATCAGTGACTTGGAAGTCGACTCGCAGGAATTATGTTAGGTGGATCTCTGCATCACAATGTTGATTTCAAAATGCCCAGATTGTGAAAGAACGCTGCAAGCGATTTTGCTACTGGTATCGAAATTAGACTTCCCAACGACTAAGTTGATTTACAGCATTATGCGTGATTTGTGCAGAAGACTCACCAAGTTTTATTCATGTAACTCCCACGCCCATGGCGAGCATCACAACGGTCGAAGTTGCAAGAAGACAAAATGATTCAAAGGTTTTACACAAATTGGTGGAACCTGTAGACATGCTGCTTTCGCACTAGGAGACACTAACTGGACGGGATTCAGATTTCAAAAACATGGCATACAGATACATCATACAGGACGGGACGCTAAGGAAGATTTGTTCCACTTCCTCAAGTAACCCATGATTGATGCAAATCATTTGCAAATCACTAAGCAACATCAAAGAATTTCCTACTTTGAATCGACACATCAACTCATTCATACAGAAGAAGCCACGCAAACATCATAAGCTCATGGAAGTAAAACACCCAGCCACGGGTGATCTTCAATCATGCAGAACAAGACGTTTAAATCATTGTTCAATAGCCTCCGAAGATTACTTCAGCCCCAGAATCATAACTGTTGAGGCTTGAAGTGTTCGATTCGCATAGCTTTCTGGGGTAACCTGTTCCTTGTTTGTGTCGGGGTAGCCATTGCACAGCCCCCAAGCTGTATCCAATTTGAGTTGGTAACAGTTGTTCAGTGTAAAGGAATGAATGTTGCACCTACTGACACCAATCTGTTAACAAGTAAAGAGAGACTAAATATGTAAGTTGCAGTAAAATTGAGTTGTAAGAATTTGACCATGTCTGTACAAGCCCTGATAAGCATTTTACGTGAAAAATGGTCCAGATTCTTGTAATCATTTATTCATTTATCAATTAGTCAAAAATTAGATGTACTTGAAAGCCTGCAAGTTGGACGATCTACTCCTTGCAAATGAAAAAGAAGAGAAGCTAGAAGTTACAAACCACTAGAGGGTGATGAACATTACATGCATCAAGGACCTGGGCAAGCTGGAATCATTTGATGGCAATCACGATTTTTTTGAGCTGGAGTTGTATGAGTGAATTCTAATGTGTGTGTCCTCGTGTTGTCGCAGGCAACTTGATCAGTTCTGATAGCGGTACAGACAACTTAGTGGAGTCACCATCACCATCTACAACATTGACAGATCCTCTACAGCCAGCACACCCGCAGTAGCATGTTAATACTTCGTCCTTTGACATAAATCTGTAGTCATATGTCAACTCCTCTCCAACCTCAATGTTCCGCTTCGCGAAAATGATGATCCGATCCTCTCCGCTGGCAGTAACAGTCCTCGAGTAGCAATTCGGTTCACACGAATGATTGATGAGATGTGCAATGGTGCCAGCATGAGTGGCATCCACGACACGCTCATCATCAATTCGAAACATGTAGGTTCCCGCTCCAACAAGTGAGTCATAGCATCTCCTTTCCCTAATGTCGGCAATTACAGGCCTCACAACTTCACCTGCATATTCAATAATCATGTCATTTGCATAGTGGACCTGCTTTGTAAACACCCCCATCCCGTGAATTGCTGACTTGCCAAACGCAAGGCGCTGGCTCAAAGATGACTTCATTCTACGGAACTTGTCTGACATCGACAAGATCTCCACGTCTTCACCAGACTTGGCGGAAGCCGAAGCAGGAAGAGCAGTAGCACCAAGAGGTCCTTTACTAGGTTTCCAATGCATAGACCACATATTCCCGTTACTACTGACGCTTGCTATCTTCGGTAGGGGGTTCTTTCTACAACCAGTAACTCTGTATGGAAGGTTCTCCACAAACAAGCGCTTCGCAAGAGCTGCAGCAAGCGCTTCAGGTTCTCGACGCCCTCGTCTTGCTGCTGCATTGTAAGGCTCGCTCCGAGCACAACCAGAGGATGTCACCGGTGGTTGGTATGTCAAGCAATCAGTTTTCGTACAAGGAGTTGGTAGAGCAACTTCACAATTAAGTCTGGTTGATTGCTTGTGTTTTCGACAATAGGAAAGCAACCTCAAATCTGTTTCCCCATTCACTTGCAGCTTCTCCTCCAGAACTTCCATATAAAGACCAGCTGATCTAGCACAAAGAGGGTGAAAGGCAGTTTTACAGCTATTCACAGAGCACCGTATACATGCACCATATGGTACATTACATATGCTGCAAGTCAGCCTCCAACGTTCTTTGCTAATAGCGTTAATTCCATCCACAGGTTCCATGCGCTTTACATCTACAAGACAAGTTTCAGGTATCCACATGGCACACATCAGATGAGCCCAGCGACCATCTGTTGTCTTCTTCAACGCCCCGCTCGTGACAGGACAAAGGCAGCAGGGAGGTCGAGTCTTAGGTGCATCAGGCCTACATAGGTTACACAGCCATAAATCTCCATCCGGGAGTTCCAGTTCTCCGTAACAATTCATGTGCACCATGATCCGGCACTTGTCACATTGCAGCAAAAGATTGTCAACGTATTCTTCATCCAGGTAACAAACTGTGCAGCGGTCTAGATGCTTCCATGATATTTCAACAGGTTTGTAACCCGCAGGTAACACAGCCTCCACATCTTCATTTGGAGGGTTTACTGACCAGTTGGCAAATTTTGTGCAAGCTCTCGCACCTGGAAGGGCCTGAATCAACTTTGAAACTCGGGGATTGCTAAATCCAAACATATGTGCAGCAGATCTGAACTGCATTCGTTTGTCTAGCTCAGGAATCTTTCCCACCTTCTTATGAGCCTTTCGCAGCCTGTGGAAAGCCTTTTTCCAGCATGCGTAGGGAGATGGACCTTCAACAGGAGTGTCGTCCGCAGGAGTACAACGGAACGTAGGTAAGGATTGAGTTAAGGGATCCCTAAATACCTGCATTTTGTAATCGACAAAAGCATCAGGATCCTTTGCTGACGGAAAGCTTCGAACTGATGTGTATCCTTCGGGCCAAATGTACTGCTGATCATGAAAATGCTCGCTGTCCCGCACAACGTTTCCTAGACTCAGAATCGTAAGTGCACCCAACTGAAGAGGAAAAGTCACAACGCGCTTGACTCGCCTTCTCGTCATCCTTTTGACTTCACCGCCAGTTTCTTGCACATCTGGTTCTGGCTCTGGCCAATTTTCTTCAATTTCCTGTCTTTGTCTCTCAATCGCCCCATGCACACCATCCCCATCATCAAGCAGGTGGGACATGCTGTCAGGAAGCTTGCATTCTTTCAAATACCGCTCTACTTCTTCTAGTCCTTGGACGAAAACCACCCGCTTACACTTGGTATGGAATTTCATCATCAAACCTTTCGAAAAGATTACCAATTTTTTGTAACTGAACCTGCAATGATCGTAGCTGCCAAAAAACTGAAGAGGAACCATGCCCTTCTTGCCAGGATCCATACCACAAGCGGCCGCATGATCTTCATCCATAACAAACGCTGGCCACATTGGCCACCCCTTCACTTTAGCCCACACAAGATCCCCATGAACAAGCTTCTCTTGATCTTCAACAGCAGTTGCTAATGCAACCAGCTCAACTGGGTCCGGTTGACTTCTTATTAGTGGCTGTTCACCTGTAGCGGTCTCAAGGTCAACCCACTCTTCAGGAGACAGTTTCAGCTTAAATCTTTCCTTCGAAACCGAGACCATTTCCATCTCATTATCTCTATAATCAATTCTATGCTTCTTGGTTTGAGGGTTGTAATCATGAATAACTCCTGGATACCATTCGTCGTCCAAGGGCCAAAACACTTTGCAAGTACGACCTATCAAGGCTTTAGGATTGATTTTGCTCAAATCAACTTCCCTCCACTGTCGTAAATTTGCTTTCTGAGTCACAAATTTCTGCATGGCATCTGTTAGCTTCCTCGTCCGAGGAGTCATTTTGCTGGAAACAGCGAGTCCCCGCATTCCTATGACTTCGTTTTCGATTCTAGCTTTCTTTGTTCTGAGTTTCACAGGCGTTTGAACCACGACCGCACCATTTTGGAATATGGGCTTCTTTGTTCTCAATTTCACAGACAATTCAGCTTGAGGACTTACATGCATTGCACCCTGATGACCGTCTGCATTATTGGGACTGATCTGTAATGAGGAGTAATAGCCCGAACAATGAGCTTCTGAAACCGCCTCAAAGGCCTCAACTCTACCAGAATGTCTGCGACCATCGGTCTCAGAACCTTGAAGTATAGACACACCAATCTTCTTTTGCTTTCTCTCCTTTTGTGAAACCTGTGATGCGAATTTGGTAACCGCTCCATTACTTTCAATTCCATTGACTGCCGGTTTCGCCTGCGGTGGTTTGATAATCTTGGCTCTTTGAACAACATTTCTAGACAACAATCCTCCTTCAGGATGTTTCGATGCTAGGAAGCTTCCCACATTGCTAACGGGAGATCTCATCGGTGTATTACTGCCACTCCTCAAAGTATCAGGCGAGGATTGCACATGACACTTTCCACTAATCGCATTTTCGGGTTTCCTGACAAATGTGGCCTTTAGAAGCCCGCAGCTCTTGCCTCTTTCACCGTTCTGCTGCTTCATACCAATTCGTGATGCCTGCAGTAGTGGTCGAGAGGTCTCAGGACGACGAACCCCCAGGCCTACTATTTCCTTGTCACTCTCTGTCTCTGAGTCGTCAGATAGGTCAGCAACCAATGACAATTTCCTGGACACTCCTACATTTTGTTGAGGACCAGCATTTATTTCTGTTCTGTTAACTGTAAGTTTAGAGTACAACTTCCCAGGCATTTCTTTGTTAGCAGTAGAATAGTCCTCTCCGTTTATTCTCGGCTGAGCTAAGTCCGAAGCCTTGCCCGATAAAGCACTTCCACTGTAAAGAAAGCCAGGAGATTGTCCCTGTGACACTAATCCTTGGAACCTTGGCACTGCCTTAAAACGATTAACTATCTGTTCCCGGTCACTTTCAGTCTCTTCAGATGAGGAACAATAAATTATCTCTCTGTTTCTCAGACCTGCAACTCCATTGTCTTCTGCATGGATTGAAAGTGAGCTTCCTGGTTTCTCCGACCTAGGTTCCGCCATTCTCGTCACTAGAGGCACCCTCGGTGCTTTAGGCTGAACAGTCTTGACATTATTAACTTTCACAACTCGATCAACCGCTCTCATTGATTCCCGCAATTCAAACTGAGAGTTCGTCTTCCTAGACCCCGCTAGGCTTCGCAAACGTTTCAGGGATATGTACTTCCCAGGATTTGCAGTGACGACAACTGTAGTGTTTTCATTCGACAAAGATTCATGTGAATCATGTGGTTGTGGACCACGTGCTAAAGGCCACAGAGACTTCACAACCTGGTTAGACTGCACAGCCTTCGTCTGGACTAATGGCCGTAGCTGCTGATGAATCTCGGCACGTTTGAGGGCGGGTTTTCGACAATTTTCTGTGCCTTTCTTCTGCTCTTGAGTACGCTTCTTCCTCCTTGACTTTGCACTCATTAAAAGCTCTGGAAGGACATTTAAATCTATCGGAATCCGATCACCATCAGACTCATCGTCTTCGTCTCCCTGCTCACAATCAGGACGCTTCGGCCGATTTCCTCCATTCAAACACGGCAAGTCCGAGTCTGTTTCGGTAGCTGTTTCACTTTGAGTTGCCTCGCTCGAAACCTCCTCCTGCTCCAGCCGCTGCCTAATCTGCCTATTTCCAATCCTCGCTGGCATATCGTCCTCGGTTTGAGTTCCGGAGCTAGATCCATCCTCGTTGCAGGACACAGCGACTACACTCCTTTCCACCAATTGCACATGTGGTCGCACAGCTGAGTGTGCTCGCTCATCCGTTCCACTGCCTTGAAGGACATCCGTGAACCGATGAAGCTCATGTTTAGGATCTGTGTGGTACTCCACTTCAAGTTTGCGATTCCTTCCCAAAACAAGCTTGGGCCGTTTCCCTGGCCGAATTTTTACCTCACTTCTCTCCCTCTTCACCCCTTCTTTCGGCGGCCTTCCCATTCGTCGTTTCTTATTGTGCACCTCGCTAGCAGGGCGCGGCAATTTCCCCTCCAGATTTTGATCAACTTTACGCATGCCCTTCGGTCTGCCGATCTGCTTGCGTCCCATAATCTGTGCTTTCTCTGAACCCGGATTGCTATTCAAATCAATAGCTAAAGGTTTCTCCACACGCTTGCGCTTCATAACAGCATTATTTTCAGAAGCCGGTCTCTCGAAGTCAACATCTTCATGATGAACGGGAGATGGCACAGAAGCGGGCACTTGATCACCAGCATTGCTCACAGAGGGAAGTCGATCCAAAAGTTTTGAGCTGGTTTGATCCCCCCAGAACTGCTCCAACGTCATCTGCTTCTGCTTCGGCGACGAGGCTTTCCTTCGAACGACTGCGAAATCGGCGGACCTACACTCGTCATGTAGAATTGTTGGAGGTCGCGGTGGTCTTGGATCCATTAAAGCATCCAAATTCGAAAATCTTCGCTTGTACACAATTGGGAAGCTATCATGGCCTGGTCTCCCTTCCATAGTGGCGACTTTGCCATTCCTATCCATTTCTTTCATCGAAATCACGTCCAATCCTCCCTCCACATCGAATTTATTCTCATGGTGCCCTAACGCTGGCATTGCCTGCGATCGACGGGCATCCGTAGGCAAATTCATGACCTACGCATACTGCATTCGCGGCAAGAAGACAGGCTCCAACACTGCAACAAATTAAATTGTAATACTAACAAAATAGTTTTAAAATATCTCAAAGTCACCCCATATCCTGCAATTCATGCAAGGAACTTCATTAATGCCGAATTGCGCATCAAGATGGCGTGGTAACAGGAGGAATGTGGCATCGTTTATTTTCCACGTAAGAAAAAATGACATACTATGAGCTCCGGAGGACAACACTGACCAAATACTGCAGCGCAACTAACCTCCTCTAGTAATGCGGTGTCTCCGTTACCAATTCTAACTTCCCATGCACCACGAAGCATCCAGCATTTGCATCTCCGCGCTCAGATGTCCCGAACACGTTGTCGTCAATCCGTCAGGCTTCACCCAAGATCCTTCTCTGTTCTCCGCGACGAAAGAAACCCCCATTCACTACACACCCTAACTGCTTTCTCTCCATCTACAACCCGCTTGAGATACCACCCTAGTTTGCACGCCCCCAAACTTATGGGCAGAACCCCGCTTCTGCACAACTCCACATCTCCCCCTCCACATCACCATCCCTCTCCTGTCTTCCGGAAGCCCCTTAAACAACCTCCGAGGTTGCCCCTCAACTCACCATCTGCACTCTATGCCCCCCTTCACGCCCTCCACAGCACTATCACACTGTAACAACCTCTCTAATTGCCACCACTGCTACGCCCCGCCCTCTCCCTTTCCTATTGCCATCACCATTTCAATCAACATCTCCGTCACCATCCCCCGCCAAAGTTAAACTGCAACTCCTAACGTCACATGAACCCCAACCTTGCCTCCTCACAACTACAACTCCTCAAATGTTCAATCCCCTCACGAACTCGGCAACTATTCCCGCCCTCCTCACAACCCCAACCACCCGCCTTCGACTTCTTGCACGTCAATCAAACCAAACCCTAACCCGCCCTAAAACACACACACACACCTCTCCGATCCTTATAATTCAATACCTACAGCAAATAAGCAATCCCTCTCAACAAGCAGCCTGCAGCCGCAGCAGCAGCAAGGCACATCACGCTCCACGCGATGAGCTTGGTGATGTTTCCGAAATTTTCTGTGTCTGCATCTATGCGTGTCAGTTGTGTGCTGTGCTTGGAGTGAATGTTCTCACAGAAGAAAGGGCAGCTTAAGGCCTCACCGGAAAGGAAGGAAAGGAATGGGTCATTATCGTTTTCTACTGTTACACATAATTATCAGTTGTGTATGTATGTCCCTCCCTTTCCTCCGAGTTCCTCTTTTTCTTCTTTCAAGTCTCTCAGGAGTCTTCTTTCTCGGCTTGTCTTTGTCTTGTTGGAATTAGAAGTAGGTGAAAAACGATTTTCAATTTCAGGCTTTGATTTGATTCTTGCGGTGTAGAGGGCGAGTGGGCTTCCCTTGAGTCCAGGGTTTAGGGTTTTCACCCTCACAACTAATTTGCTGAAGAATGCATGATTCAGGTTTTGTTGAAGAATTTGAAATGGATTTGAAGGATTTTTTGGGTGTTTTGGTGGATATTGGGTTTTCGAGTTTCAGGCATGTGGTGATGTGTGAATAGAGGATAGTAGGAAAACCAACTGGTTGGTTGTTACAATAGTCCATTCGGAAGAAGGAACACATGGGGCAGAAAGTGGTGGACTGAGTGGAAATATAATCTTGCAGTGTATGCAGGAGTGAGTTGCTTGTGTGGAGGGTTTCATGGGCAAGTTTGGATTCCAGGTGCAGGTGTGAGTTGCTTGTGTGGAGGGTTTAATTGGCAAGTTTAGATTTCTTTGGCAGGAGCCAGTTGCTAGTGTGCAGGGTTTAATGAGCAAGTTTAGGCTGTAGATGAAGGAATTCAATGAACAAGGTCACAAATTTGGTTCATGTTTGATTGTGTGTTCTGGGTGCTGGACTTGGTTGTGCTAGTTTTGGTGGTGTGCAATTTTTCTTTGAGAATAGCCATAATTGGGTAGTTTGCATGTGTTTCTGTGGAATGGAAAAAACAAGTGTGTTTGGGTATTGTTTGCTTGCAAGCATGGCAAAGAATTGGAGCTGGGATGAGGATAATGCACCATATTAGTCACTCTGGAGGCACTGGTCATTGGATGTTGAGCTTACTTCACTTGATTTTAGAGTAACTCTTGTGATTTGGAACAAGGATTTAAAGCAAGACCCATATTGAAACCAGTCTTGTTTGTGGGGGATTGTTGTACAGCATGACAAAATGTTGGTCAAGTATATGATGAGATGGTCATCTCCTTGTATGTAAGATGTGAAATGAATGATTTGAGTGAAGCTTCTTTTTGAAGTTTTATGAACACACACAATGTTTCCATGTATTACAAACATCTGATTTACACTAGTATCCTTGTCTTAAAGAATTTCATGCTTTTGGTGAAGTTTTAAAAGGAGCATCAATGGTACCTTCAAGTTGAGATGCTTTGTTTTATTCACTGTTGTTCAAGGCACGGCTGTAATAACTCATCAAAAGTCCAACTTGGAATACACTGACACAGAGCTCCCACTAATCCTTTGAAATTGATGTGGTCATGGATACTTTGAGAATTTTTTCAATAATTGAGCAAGAATCAATGTCATTTGTAGGCAACAACCATCCATCTAATTACCGATTCAAAATTCAATTGGATTGTGATAAATTTACCTTGAAAGCCTGTATTGATTGTTATCGTAACATAGAACCTCTTTACTGTTTGTGTGGTTCGTATTATTTGGAATGCAAGGTGTTGTAGAAAGATAACATTGTAATCTGTGTAGCTGTACTTCTTCAGTTAAAATGTTATGGTTAACAAGAGCTTCAAAACAAAAAACATTAAAAAATTAATGTCAATTTGCTAAACGAGTGTGATACAAAAGTGACGTACGTGATCTGTAGAACCACATTGGTGTGTAACACCTTTTGCAACTTGTATCTAGTAATCGCATGAGGAATGCCTCTAACTTTCTATTGACTTTGTCGAAAATGATAAGATTATAGGAGATTGGTTGAAGGTATGATGTTCGTGAAATCACTTCGCGACGTTTTGGTTGTAACCTGGACCATGTCAATTCACACTTGCTAGAGCAACTACCAATTTGCCAGTGTCATTTCCATCCTAACAACTTGGTCTGCAATAGTTTTTTGTGGGCAGTGATCAATTCCATCACAGAATATAATGCCATTCAACACTGTTTACATACTTGTAACTGCAATCGAAATTAGGGTTTACTTGCCAAATAGGAGACGAAAAAACTGATCATGAACTACACAATTTGTGCACAAGTTATTTTGGCAGAGAAAACAAGGCTTGATATCGCTCATTCATGAGATAAAGAATTGTTCTCTTTGTTTTCTGGTTGTAAAGTTATACTGACAACACAGTGCAGAATTGAGTGAAAATTTCAGACTTGGAGTACTCGAGTCAATGTTCACCAGTCTAACCCAGCTGTTTCTTTTCCCAATAGCTGGGTTTATTTTTGCCGAAAAAGGAATTTCCATAGTGAAAAAGATTCGAGCATTGTTCCAGGTTCTCTTCGAATCTCTTCCAGCAAAATTTTGTCAACCTGTGTACATTTACTTGCTTCTACCGATTTAACATTGAAGCCAGTGATTTCAGGGAAATGTTTCTCACCGTAATTTCGTGGGACTGAGCCAGAAAACCAAAGTTGCTAAATACGCATTGGATTCTTGCGCCCTCATGGACCAATAAACGATGATAAGTTAGAGGTTTGTATCCAAAACTTCGAGAATGCTTGTTGCTGATAGTAGAATGTAAGATGCCGATTTTAGGTTCAGCATTATTATATGTATCACCCACTTGGACGCAGATGCACTCTTCCTGCTGTGGGACGGCATCTTGTTATGTAATGTATCCAAAACTTCGAGAACACTTCCCAACGTCGTCCACGATTGGGTTCATAGCTCCGACAATTCATCTTGCTGTTGTGGAGGAAATTGATCGCCAGACCGTTCATCGATGCTCTGCGCGGTGCACATTCGTCTTAGCCGATGACTCAAAGATGAAAATTTTACCTGGCATAATTATTTTAGAATAACTTTTTTAAAACACTGTGAATTAGGAAGAAATTGCGTGTATTGTTCCTTGAACTATGAGGATGCTGACTTTAGATTGAACTCAAACAATTGCACACGGCGATGTCGGTGAGCATGTTCTTAAAATAAAATACCAAATGAAAAAATATAAATAAAAATAAATCAGAGAACATGCTGCTGGAGACTCACATGTAATTGATTCATGTGACATGCAGACTTGCAACTTTAATCCAAGGCATAATCAATATAGATCACACCAAGCATCCTCACACTGACTTTCTGGTGAGAAATTAGGTCCATAAAAACTTGATGGTGTGCTACAGTTTCCAAGATTGGATTCCTTAACTTCTGGTCACAAGATGAAAGACACAAGCAAAATTTGAAGGAAAAAACCACCTGATTTGCATTATTCAGGAACTCTGGAACCTTTGCTAAGCATGCTGCTGTGTTGTAGTAAGCATGGTTACTACTGCTGCAAATAAACACAAGTAACTTAATACAAGTTATAGAAGATAAGACGTCTTATTCATGGAGGGATAACCTAGCTGCAGTAGGTAGTAAAAGGTTTCTACCTAGTCCTAAATTTGATAGTAGTGACATCATTGTCACAAACAGCATGGTGAGAGTGGAAAGTGACATCATTGCAAGAAAGGAAGGGCAAGTTGGATATAGCCAATGCTTCTCCTAAACTTGCACTCATCATTCTTTAGTTATGGTGCTTTATCACCTCACTTCAACCAAGGTTCTTGAGCAACTACAATATACAGTCAATGATTTATTATTGGAAGGTGTTGTACTATTTTGATTTTGTTTTTTTAGTTTGTTTTTCAATTATGGAGTGACCAATCCTCAATTTTATTTTTTGTTGTATTCAATTTTAGATCCTTCTCCTTGTGGTTTGGTTGATCAAGATGACTCTTTAGTGTGTTTGCAAGTCGTTTTTCAATTTGGTACAACCTTGACTACTGTTGCCTATATCACAAAGAGACAATAAGAATGGTCTTGATAATTCTTTAGTTGGTGAGGTTCTTTTCTTGGTAGTGTGGTTAAAAAAGTCACTGGAGCTTGGAGTTTTATAATAGACATACTCTCTAAAATTTTACACTGTGCATTGTGGATATAGTACACAGATTTTTACATCTTGGTTAAAATATGGAAAACAAGTTTAAAATTACAAAGAAGTAGAGTACAAGAAATTTAGAATTTGAAAGAGAACAAAAGAATATCTTCAATTCAAAATCTAAGTGAGGCTAACTAAGGTTGAATTTTGTTTTTTATACATCTATGTTGGTATTATTTTTAGTCCAATTAATTCTTTATTTTCAATAAATTCAATCAAACCTAATACTTTTGTAAAAATGTTAGCTTGTTGCAAATATATAAGAGTGTATCAAACCTCAATTATTTTATCTTAATACCTGTCTCTAATTTAATAATAATTTAATTCTATGTACTTTGTTCTTTGGTACATAACTAAATTTTGAATTAATTTAATATTCCTTACATTGTCACATAGTAATGGTATAGGACCTTTTTCATTTAAGTAGAATTCCTTGAGTAATCTATAAAATTAAGTAATATTGTAGGAGGCTTTTGAGAGAATACGATATTTGGCTTCTATTAAGAAAAATACAATTGATAATTGGAGCTTATTTAATCATGCTATTAATATTAATTCTAATTTATAAAGTACATTCAATATAGATTTGTAAGAGTCTAAGTCTTTTATCCAATTTGCATCGACAAGAGTAAGTAATCTTGTCTTGTTATGAGAGAGATAAAATATTCTATAGTCTAGAGTACCTTTGAAACATTGCAATATTTTCTTTGCAACAACCAATTTAGTGAGTTGAGTATTTTTCATGTACCTTGATACCATACATACATCAAATTGTATATTCTAATGATTGATAGTTGTATAGAGTAGCTTCTCAAAAAGACTTTAATATAGCTTGTGGTCAATTGTAGGTGTTCTAATTTCTTGTTGAAGCTTGAATTTTGGATTCATTAGTATTGAAGATGGTTTGTAGAAAGTCAATCCAAATATATTTAATAAGATTTGAATATAACATCTTTATATCTTTGAATCTAATTCAAACCTTCAAATTATTAATATTAATATTAGATTTTAGCTTTGTTTTGAATATTAATTTATCAATTTTATGATAAAATAAAAAATCCAAAAATCATTAAAACAAACTCATTAGCAATAGAAGAAAGTGCATGATTGTAGTACAAAAGGTATTGGCACTTATATCATGTTAGATTATAATATTTA